TAACTGGTTTATTAATTTTTGTTTGCGAGTTCACAAGCCCTGTGTGAAGGATCTTGAGGAGACAGCAACGTAGTAACCATACTGCTACCCAGAAATCCCTGAGCAGAAGTTGGCTGTGTTAAATGGTTTAGCCCCAAGTTCTTCACAAGAACTCTGTTGTGACACCCTCTGTCACACAGAGGGTGACAGGTGAGGGTCCTCCCCTTTTCTGCCATGCTCTGGAGCCCAAGGCAAGCTGAGGCAGGTTTTGAAGAATGAATACCTATCTGCTCTTAAGGTAAGAAGAATCTCCGTCAGGGCGCAAGGGCCTGGCTTCACTTCTCAGAGGAGCACACGGGCTCAGAGAAGTCAAGGGTCACACAGCCCGGGAGCAGCAGGCCGGCGGGGCGGGATCTGTCAGGTGGGGGGCTCCTCACACATATGCCCAGACTGTTTCCTTCCTGCTTCTCGAGAATCAGGTTATCCAGTATCTCTGTCCACTCGCACCATCCATTCCTTCCAGTTTGCTGTCTATTATTAGTGGGGACTGAGGGAAGCTGATTCCAACTGTGTCTTGTACAGAACTGAAGGGACCCACGCCTGTCAGGGCCCTGCTTGACTTCTGTGCCCGGGCCCGGCTGACTACGGATGCCTTGCCAACCACCAGCCTTTCACTTTTAGCTATAGACTCAAGACCATTCTTTTTCTGGATCGCTGACATGGCCAGCCCCTAAAATATGTGGAATTATCGTGTAGACGTGTGTTTTTTATTCATTTCAAATCCACAAGGCTGAGCTGTCTACCTACAAAACTGTAATTAGATGCGCTAGGAGGGGAAAAAAAAAAAGAAAAAAAGAAAATGCTTCTATCTCCTTTGAGCAAAATTAAGAGCTCTGGGCAGTAATTCAACACGCAGTGAAGCAGCCAGAAGCCGTGTAAGAGAATATTTATGGATGAGATGGGCCTGGACAAGCTCATCTGCTAGGTGTTTAAAAACATGCAAATTAAGCTAATCAGGCTTATAGACCATGTCTCAACACTGTGTCCATACCACCCACTAAAAATCCTCGGAACACCTGACGTCTGTTTTGAGCTTAGTTTTTCAAAAGACGGGTTTCAGCCCTGACACATTCTCAATGTGGACAGAAGAAATATCTGCACTTCAGTTGCCCTGGTCTAGATGATGCCAGAAATCGTTGTTGACTGACCGACTCCTCCCGGTGTGCATGGTGCTTTGCAATGAACACGAAGTGCTTTCGTAAAAATATTGAGCTCTTCTAACACTATAATCAGCCCCGTGTGGGGTGGGGGGAGAGTAAGGAAAGTCCCATCCCTACTCCAACACAGCAGGGGCCACATTGAGAGATGAGGTGGCTGTCCCTAGGTGTTAGAATCGGAAACGGTAAGAATAAGTCTTGGGCGTCCTGTCACTAGGCTGTGGCCTCCTGTAGGACAATAGGGACCACTGTTGATGGCACAGGCCCCATACAAACATAAATATAAGGATAGAGTTCACTCCCATTTTTTAGATTAAGAAACGTGGGTGGGGGCAGGGTGGAATCCTTGCAAGTTCAATGACTTGAGCAGAGTCACAGGTTCAAAGTGGCTGAGTCGGGGCCTTGGGATCAGCTTCTGCAGACCAGATGCTGGCTGCACTGCTCAGCCTGTTACCCAGTACCTACCCTGAAAATACCAGGGCGCAAGGGGACACCTCTTTTTCAGACATTTTTCCCTCCACAACAAAATGGGAAAGAAGATTAAACAGGCTCAAGTCTGTTTACTACTACTGAAGTCCAGCCCCGACTTGGCTGCCGGCTGCTACTCAGATCTAACCAGGTTACTCTCCTGCTTTGCCGCCTAGAAAGGGTGCCTCCCAGCTGCCCGCCGCAGGCATCTAAATCTGTCTTGCCACCTGAAGGCCTTCCCCACCAGCCTGCAATTCAATCTCTCTTCACCTTTCTTCACATCGCTCAGTCTCCAGCACGGGGGAACTTGACGTTTTGCAAACACTTGAGGCCCTCCCTTGTCTCTGGGCCCTTGCCTGCGCTGTGCCTTCCACCCGCAATGTCGTAGACATCTTTCATCCGCATGACCTCCACGAACCTTTCCTGATCCCTGAGTCAGCTAGCTTTCTCTGCATTCCACGCGCTGGTTATATATCTGTCCCATCACAGAATGGAGCACGCTAAATTCTAACGCAGCAGTACGCCCACCCCCCACCCTCTACCCCTAGAGCAACAGCAGAGGCCAAGGTTTATGAATCTTTGTATTGACCTTGCCCAGTCCCTCACAGACAAGACAGAGAGAGACGGAGAGCTAGCTTAGTAAATGTGAAATGGCTGGCTGACGGTTTATGAACAAGGTTTTCATAGTTAACTCAGCTTCTACATGAAATTCAAAACAATGAAGAAGATGGGACTCAAACATGGCAGGGGAATAACATACACTTTTACTCTCAAAATAAATACTAATCAATTTTATTTTATAAATACAGATGCTGAGTTTTCTTCCAATTACCAACAGATCAGTTTCACATGCCATTTATTATTGGTGGTGGTTTAAAAAATTATTTAAATAACCGGTTAGGTCAGGATAAATGGGCACCATTAGAACGGCTAAAAAAATATAGCTGGATACAATCTTCCAAAACTAATATTCTGAGGGGGAAAAAATCTCTGGAATTTCTAAAGCGGGTAAGGGGAAGTGGAGAGAGAGAACACAATCAAATCTTCATTTGATAACATTTACTGGCTGTTATAAGGGTCGCAGCTACATGAAAACAGAAAGAGCTTTTAGCAGTTCCGACATGGATAGTAGTGAATTTCATTTCAGCTTGTATCCTCAGAGCAGATTTTTTTTCTTTTCTTTGTCATTAGTGATTTAAAAGACTAATTAAAAAGATTAGTAGGAGATAGTTAACTCATCCCATGTTTTGGCCTTGGCCACTTGAAAGAGGCCAGATGAACTCTGCGGCTTTGGAAAACGTGGAGCCGGGCTCCTCCTGGAGACATGTGAGACTGCAGGCAAGGCAAGGCAGAAACAGGAGGCACCACGGGAACTCAATGAACACCTGAAAGCCCAGAGGAACGCAAACCCAGGGGTGGCGCTGTGAGGTGTAACGTCACTGAGCACGGTGTGGACCCAGCCGACTCGAAGGTAACTGGTTCTGAGCTGCCTAAGGACATTCAGGGGCAGGGCTCCGTGCTGTGGGGGTGCAAAGCTGTGGGTCCCAGAATCAGGGAGTCCACGGATGGGAGACTGACAGAGCCCCAGGCCCCCGGGCTCTGTCTGGCTGTGTGGAACCTGAGGTGAACATTGTAACTAGGGGTGTTCTGCGTGTGGTCCCCCTGCTTGGAGCCACCAAGACCCAGGCCGGAGGGCGCGCACCTCAGTGTACCCGATCTGTAAGTTTGGCATGAAGTTTAAAGTGCACTCCCCTCTGTGGACCTTGAGCCACATGCGATGTGCGTCTCACTGGGCAATACTAACAGTCCTTCCAAAACCTTTTCCTTTTGGGGGGGCAGAGGGGGGTAGTTCCCTGGAGGGCTCCACACAGCCTAGTCTGAAGGAGAGCCAAGCCCACGGTTATCTCCCCCATCGTGGACTCTAACGTGAGTGACAGTACTCTGCAAAGAAGCTGTGACTTGACAGATGGCCTCTGCGTTAGGTTTGGAAGTGTCCCACCTCTTTCTGTGGAATAAGATGGATTTCTCCCGATCAAGTTAAAGCTCTTAATTGCTTTCAGGTCGGGTCTGCCTGTCGAGCATGGATTCTGTGAGTTCTCTTTATGTGGAAAGTAACAACACGAACTATTCTGCTTGACGATGTAGTTGTCAATGAGAACTTGAGCCCAGGGGTGCTTGGACAATACAGGAAAAGGATCACGGGAGCTAGGAGATCAGCTGTCGCGTGGGACAGACGCAGTTACGGGACGGGACAGGTGTGAGGGTTTTTGTGTGGCCACGCAAACCGGGTCGACTCAAGTTGACATTAGCGCGGACACTGCTACCCTTTTGGTTCAGGCTCGCCCTGTCCTGATGTAACATGGAGATGCAGATTCTAGATGAATTTCGAAACTGGAAAGAACAAATCGGGTCAAGTGAAGCAAATTCAGTTTTTATTCTATACAATACATGAATATATGCATAAATTTTCCTTAAAGAGCTTGCAACCCTGAGGCAATGTCCTTGGGTATAGAAAGTATAGAGCAATAGCAAATGAGAGCGGAGCTCCAGGAACGAAATCGGACTTCAAGAACATAATTTACTATGAACGCACCTGCATTATACCAGCAGTTTCTACACCTCAACTACGCCTCTTCACCCAGCTCTCCCGACTGCCTTGTGGTCCGCACGTCGGACAGCCTGACTCTGTCCAGATTTTACATCATATCCAGTGCCTTCCTTTCTGACTGAAATTTAACCAATCGGCGTGGAATTGACACATAGGGATTTCCGTCTGGTGAGTTGCTAGAGAGCTTGCCTGGTTTTTCACTGCAGCATCTGCCCACAGAAAAACTCTGGCTCCCAAAGGGGACTGGATGCCATCTGACTGTTGTAACCTTGGGGGGGGGGGTCCTTGAGCGTCCCCTGGGATATACCAGAGGTGAGGTTTCTCCTCTGATTCGAGGGTTACACCAAGCTATGGCTGAGCTGAGAAGGTGGGAGGTCTTGGCTACTGCATTCAAGAACCAGTGAGTCTGAGGTCCTCAGTTTTCTGGGTGCACAACCCAGGCACTGTGAAGATGGGGCAGCGGATGGGGTGACTGGGGGCAGGTGCAGGGAGATTGGGTGTAAGGAGACCATTGTGCTTCTTATTCACCAAACTCATGGATGGTCAAAGATCTTTCAGTAAATGGTGAAAACTTTTTTTTGGATTATTTGGTTTTCCCAAGCTTTATAAACTTATGGTGAGGGCAAATGCTTAGGAGAAACTAAAAGTGAGTTTATTATATTATTTATATATTATCATCTCCCCTCTGAGGATAACATAGAAGTGTAAATTAAAAAGCAGACAATACCTATAAGGTGACTCGAGCTAGAGTGTGACTTTTGCCCTAAAACAATCGTCAGGCCTGGAAAGCAAATCTTGCAAGCAGAATCTAACTTTGTCTGGCCCACTGATACACAATGATCCTGAGTCCCTCCTTGACTGACAAAGTCTGTTTTGCTGAGGAATATCCTCCATTAATACTCATTTTATGTCATAATTATTCCAGGGGGTAACCAGTGCAGCTTTCTCCTCCTTTCAGGCAGTGCCTCTGTCCTGGTCCTACCGGCCATCTGCTCACTTCACTTATCAGAACTCCTGCGTGGCCGGCGGAAGCTGGACACGTTCTCATTCAGTGCATAGATCCTTCGGGAGAACTCTTCAAATTCTCCCAGAACTTGTTCATCACACTCCACTGCCACGGCACTATCCACCGGGATGCAGTTAAAGGCTTCCAGCTGATCGCCGGAGGTGAAACCCGTGGCTTCCATCCCGATGATCTCCTCCGCCTGCTCCACAGTACAGCAGAGCTCAGGCTCGGACCCTGGGTGGTACTCCCCCGGGAGGCGGACGCTGGAGGAGCCAGCCTGCTCACCGGGCAGCAGAGTGCCGTTGACCGTGGATGCGTGCCCGGAGAGGGCTTCTTCTTGTTCTTGGCTGGTGCTCATGCCCATGTGACTGCCGCTGAATCTGTCACCCAAATCAACTCCTTTTTTCTTGTTTTCTTTGGAGAAGTCCAAGGAGGTATCCAAGGAGGAGGACAGGGATGTTGTCTTTCTCTCAGATTCTCCTGCGGAAGGGATGGCGGGAACAGGCTGGGTGAGCGCTGAGTTGTAACTGGGAGGAGGGGTTTGGTACTGGAGTCTCTCATTCTCTGAGCTGGCCCGTTTTCGGTGTCCTTTGTCTGGGGACGGGATCCCCCCAGAGAAGCCTACGTCTGCACCTCCAAATATGGAGCTTTGTCTCTTTGGAACAGGGATGGCACTGGAGGTGTGGTGTCTGTCGCTAGAAGACAAACAAAAACGAGAAGTTACTTTCAACTTTCGAACTTAGCCTAAGCCTTCTGGATCCAGAGACAGGAAACAATATATTTAGGTCTGAGAGAACAAAAATTGATTATAATCAACCTTAGTATTAATCGTAGTGAACGAATACAAGAAAAAACATGAAGCATTCTGAATTCAAGTTTGAGAGCTTCCTTCTAGAAGGATACAAGACACACTAAAATATATCCAGAGGACAGTCCTCAGGGTGGGATGGGGGATAGAAACCATGTCGTGTGGGGAAGGGCTGAAGTAACTGGAGGGATGGGATCTGAAAGAAAAGTATTTGAGGGACGTAATCAACCTCACGGGCCTGAAGCACTATCAGTATTTTTATTCTTGTTTGAAATATTCAACTTAGGGCACCTGGGGGGCTCAGTCAGTTGGGCGGCCAGCCAACTCTTGGTTTCAGCTTGGTTTTGGGGTCCTGGGATTGAGCCCTGCATCAGGCTCCACACTCAGTGGGGGAGTCTGCTTCAGGATTCTCTCTCTCCTTCTCCCTCTGCCCCACCCCCTGCTCGTGCTCTCTTTCTCTCTTATAAATAAATGTTAAAAAACATTCAACTCTTATTTTATCTTCATAAAGCAGGCATCTTTATTTGGCAGAGAGGTTAAATGACTCTGATAACTTCAGGGAGGCAGGGTGGCAGGCTAAACTAAAACCCATGACTCACGGCTCAATGATCAACAGCTTTTCTGACACCAACATGCATTACAGAACCAGCAGAGTGGGGACTTGCATCTGTATCTGTATCTAATAGAGATTATTATCAAACTAATATCTATATCCAGCTATTTTTTTAATGAGACATTAACTTGGAAAATGGCTTCTCCTTCCTAAGGCTGGTCACACACACACGGTTTACAATGCCTGGTCTTCAGTGCCCTCTCCTGAACTTGAGTTCCTTCTCAGGAAGACACTTTGGGGCCAGCAATAACAATCACGGCTTTGCTATACAAAGCATTTTAGTTTCTAAAGTGATTTCACGTATCTCGTTTCACCTGGTTCTCACAAAAACCCTGTCAAGAAACCAGGGTATCCACTATTACTCTGAAGTCTGAAACAATAAATAATCACGAGTTAATGGAAATCGAGAATCCAGACCCTGGAAATGATGGTCACAGCACATGCTGTGCTGGTGAGGCCAGCCTGGAGTACGGATCACTGTTCTAGATAGCACACTTGGATGGAGCCTGTCCGCTCAATACACCAATGAGAACAGACGGGGTCCAGAGACAGAAGGAGGTGCAAACACAAGATCCATTTGACTTGGATTCTTCAGGGGAGGACGCATCCAGAGAAGTGGCTTGCAAAACAGCAGCTATCAGTCAGGCAAAGAGGCTAGACATGAAACTATACCTGCCCAATTACCGCTATTACACGCGCCAGGCCTTGGGGAGGGCAAACAGATGCAAGACAGAGCAGGTCCTGCCTCTCAGGAGCTTCTAATCTTGCAGGAGAAAGTCAGCCATAATTACTGAAACAATACACGGTCAAGTTATAGTTGTGCTAAGTGCCCTGAAAAAGAAGGAAGGAGCTAGGGTTCCTTCCACCGCTGTCCTCAGCCACAAGCCCTCGGGCCAGCTGCTTGCTCCCTGTTCTCTCAGATTTTTTCTGATGCTCGATTATGCCCATGGTCTCAGACATCTAAGAAAGGGTTTTTCTTCTTGCTAAAGGCAACCACTGGGCTGCTAATCCCCAGGCTCATCAGACTCCATAGCTTGGCTGTAAGTGCTGGTGCCAGGAGAGATTTCATAATTAGGGGTGGTCACTGGTGCACATATAAAACAAAGCAAGTAGACCAGCAAATTACTGTTTTCAGTTCTCAAGAGAAACAAAACAGAGAAGAATCTACTGGCCTTAATTTAGGCTTTCAGTTAATATGTTGTCAAAACTCACAGTAATTGGGTAAGCCACATGTTTTTGCCTACCTTGTTGATTTTACTTTACCACTTGCTGACAGTATCCCTCTCTAAATGATTCTGCAGGGGCCCTAGGTAATCAGACTAAAACACAGCCTCGGCACTACCCACAGACCTTCTATTCCGGGCACACAGGCCAAGCTTTCAGTTGCCACCCCAGCCCAGAAGGGGGGACACATCAAGTGCAGCAGCCTGGAACGCCGCAGGTGGTATCCTCGGCACACAGCCAGAGTCAGGTGCAGGAGTGCTTGCAGCTATGAAGGCTCAACGACAGGGCACCCCCGCTGCCCCCCCCCCCACCGCAAGCACCCTGTTCTGCCTCTCTGTTGGGCTGCAGGGGGGCTGACAAAAGGCAGGGCAGGAGGAACAGGCCTGGGCCCAACACTCTGTGCTGCTGACACAAGAGGAAAGGGGCTTCTGCAGCCCTCTTAGATTGGGAGACTCTGTGAAAGTTCTCCACAACTTTGTACAACAGAAAAGTAATTAAGCGTGACATCCCTCCCCTCGACTCTAATGGGAAGGAAGCTATGATTTTCTTGCCCATCAATAAAGTTGAACCCTCACATCTACCTGGTGGAAAAGGTAGGCAGGTGGATGGGTTATGCGGTTTGCTCAAGGCTGCCTCCAGAGCCCAGGCTGTTGCGTCCCAAATGGGAAAATCACATTCAAATTCAACTAACATTTGCTAACTGCCAGTGAGATGCCCAACCTCCAGCTAAATGCCATTACACAGGCTTTCTCATTTAACCCGCCCAGCCCGTCTCGAAGCACTGGGGTGCTTCTCCGATTTTAACGGATGGATTCTGAAGGCTAGAGACTCAGTCATTTTCTGACATCCTTTCATCAAAAATCCTTTAGATTTTTATGAAAACCCAGGTAATGACAGTATCAGATACTATCTGGAAAGCCCAAGTAACAGTAAAATGTCCCCTCTGAAGAATGGTAAAGAAATGACTTACTACAGATAGCCAAGAAGGTCTCCATGTCTAGAATTTGCCCTTCAGTCACCACATGTTTTCTTTCCCCCATTTGTAGCCACGTGTAACAACACCTCTCAAAAGTTTTATTTTATTTTATTTTTTTAAAAGATCTTATTTATTTATTTGACAGAGAAAGACACAGCGAGAGAGGGAACACAAGCAGGGGGAGTGGGAGAGGGAGAAGCAGGCTTCCTGTCCAAGCAGAGAGCCCAATGCGGGGCTTGTTCCCAGGACGCTGGGATCATGACCTGAGCCAAAGGCAGACACTCAACCACTGAGCCACCCAGGTGCCCCTCTCAAAAGTTTTTTATTAAAGTCTTATAATTGTAAAGATGGTAAGTTGAAGAAAAGGGGATCTTCTTGACAATGCTGGGCGATCGATATGAACACGCATTACGGAACTGATACGGGGAAGAGATGATGGGACACTTAGTGGTGTTGGGTCTGGGTCTCAGGCTCTCCCGCCCACACCCACGCCTCCCTGGGTCCTCTCTCACCACGGGGCTGGCGGTGTCCCTGCGCTGGTGCTCCAGTCTGCAGGCCCTTGTCTTTGGTTAATGTCGGCTTCTGACTCGCTGTACCTGCCTGCGGTGGATGGCCTGAGAACTGTGTGCCAAGTAAGAGTATGTAGGCTTGAGTGAGGGGCCAGCTACATCCAGGGCATAACATGCTTGGCTTTATGAGTTTTGTAACATTAGTTTTGGCTGCTCAGAGTTAATTTTTTTTATTACTTCCAGGATCTTAGCAGTGGTCCAGATTTTTCAGATAGCTGAGTTCTAAACAGCTGAAATGCTGAATGATCACATTAAAATATATGCAAACACACATGCATTTTTAATTATTATAATAATTTATACTCCCTGGAAAACTAAAAGAATATAAACTATATGAAAAATATAAATCACTCACAAGCCCATTACCTATCAAATAACCACAATTAATTCCAAGTATTTTGTTTTTAGACTTTGATTTTACATATGTGTGTTTAATTAAGAAAGAGAAAAAACCTGAAGTTATGTTTGTGGTACACACACACACACAAACACACTCACAATTCTGTACCCTGCCATTGGATTTTATTAAAACCTTTCGGTAAACAATTCTAAATGGCTACTCCACTGAATGGAATATTATTCCCTTATTTTTGTATTTCTAAAATTTTGCTATTAAAAAACTGCTACAAGCATCTCTAAAAACACAATTGAAGACTTTTAATAAAATAATTTGGATTTTAACATTTAATAGAAAGTTTCTAGAATGAACCTTTTTTACACATTTTAGTACAAGCTAAATTCTTACAATAAGAAAAGGGGCATTTTTACCTCTACCATTGCCTAAAATACAGAAAGGTAGCAATTAAAGAGGCAAATGATCGATCAAAAAAGAATGCCTGGAAGGTTTCAAGATTTTTTCTGTCTGATTACAGTCTGGCTTCATGACTATTTCACCTAGATGGAAGAAGAGTTCAAAATGCATAGATTTACTAATTACACAACCAATTTTTAAAGGCTGTTGACAATTTACTTATCAAATGAAATTGGTACATTATTTAAGTTGTGGCGATGAGTCACTAGTCGGGAATTTTTACTCTTAGAAACAACCAGAGTGAACCTGGATGTTTTGGGGAGGGGTGTATGCTGCAGGAAACATGGTCGCTTTGCTCCATCCTCCACTCTAGCCAGGGGTCCCTAAGTGCCCTGCGGCACTAGATCAGGGGGCCCAAGATATGAGATGCGGTAACTAGACCGAGTCCCTTAGCTCACCACACACATTCTCATTAGCCGTTTGCCTTGAGTGGATGTCTTTTCCAGCCTGGCTTAGGTTCAAACTGGAAACCTGGAAACATGACACCTGGGGTTTAATGCTGCAATTAAAAGGAATTTATTAAAAAACAACAACCCAAAGATACTGTAATTGCCAATTTACCAGGCCATAGTTTAGGGAAACACGGGATAGGTTGTTGAGTAACTGAACCACATCGGGACTGTTAGATTACTTCATGATCAACCTTTTGCTACAAGTACAAAAGGATACCCCAGAGTCACAAACAATAGCCTGA